ACCGAAGACTTTTGAGCGCTACTGTAGATTCTTTCTTTCTTGATTATACTTATGTCTTTCTCGGTCCATTCAGACATTCCTCCCCCCATGTAAACTTCAAATCCCGTCAAGGTGCAACACTTTCCTCGTTTTCTCTTTCTCTTTGGTGACAATAATTGTTTCTTTTCTCTGTATCCTCATGACTTTCTCTTGGTATTTTTATTCTTTCATTAGATTTTTGTGATTGTATTGCTATAATTAATATACAGATATTTTTGTTATCAAAACTTCCTCTCTATTTGCAGCCATTTACTACAATTTCTCTTTTCAACTACCGAATTTCTCTATCCAAAAGTCGTTGGTCAGGCTGGTTTTCTTCTAACTTCTTCGATACTCTCTGATCACCTGGTGTTTCCTCCATCCTTCATATAGATTCTTTGAAACCGCAAGATTTTGCTTTTAAATGCTTTATATTTTTCTCTCCTCATTTTATCATTTTATGAAGTCGTTCTTGAAAAACGACCAATTATTCAGGTCCAAGACGTGGCCACAGTCGGCCAACGAACCTCCGTATCCCGAGAATCTGGTCAATCGGAAATGGAAATTGTGGATAGCAGTAGGCCACCGTCTCGAGAAGAAAGACGAGAAGAACGAAAAGAATACCTGAACAACATCATTGATGCCAATGATAAATTAAGGGAAAAGTGGGTGAAAATTCAATTTTTACACAGCACAGCTCAAATCAATGGATCGATAAACCAGTCGATCATTCGCTCACTCGATGAATTCTGATTATTCTTTCTCTGATAACTTGATCGATTGATCGATTAGTGAAGTTTTCAATTTCAGACTTATCGCTGCTCAAGAAGAATTAAAACAATATCTGATATCGGGCATAGCGCAAGCCCAAAACATGCGTGATATGGCTGCCACAGCTTCGAGCTTAGTTTCAAGTAAGTGGTTATTGTCTGTAGAAGGGTTCCGATGGACAGGCATCTTTTCTGTGCTGTTTACGCAAATTCTTGTGGTTTGCTTTCTTATGACAAGATGCCCACATAAGTGATCTGAACGATTAAATAAGCATCAAATCAATGCTGACGGCTGTGAGTGGGATTCGGTGGGAGACGGGCGTTAGGAACGATTTTGGGTAATCGATTTGCCGCACGCGGCTGTCGCGGACCACTCATTCGCCGTTATTACAGCTCTAGCGTTCTTCATACAGCTCAATCGATATGCGATCATTATTTTATGCATAATTCTACTACTAGAACTTTTGTTCTTGTATTTCTTACCTACTGCTTAANCCTGCTACATTCCTTCGCACGCGACGCCCCTCTCACCGCGACGCGACCATTTCGTTCCTAATGCATCACACCCGGATTCGGTATCATGAGGCAGGCGAGCGATCATAGGCGACATTGGCGTCGTATAGTATAAATTTTAATTGCCACGAGTACATTTCGGGAATCCCGGCAGAGTTACGCGGCGTCGAGCGACACCACGTGACACTAGGCGACTGTGAAGGGCTATGAGCGACAAGAGCGACAGTGGACAACATACTGTTTGAGCACGAGTGCTTTCTCTTTATTTGTAGTGAATCAACTGTGGGAACTTTGTTAGATGAGGTCATAAATTTCCTCAAGCTGCTAAGGCGAAAAGGAGAACAGGAGTAATCGATTTTATAAAAACTTATACATATTAAGATGTTTCATAGAATGTCTGACACAGTGCAGCTCTGAGTAATGAAGTTGTTTTTTTTTACCATCATTGTTTTTCTCAGTGGATCTTCTCTTCTCTCAAACTCTGTATGTTCAGCTGCTCTGACGAATGGCATGACAGTCAATTCGTGGCGAGGTGCACCATATCGTAGCACCTATCCACCAGTTGGATATCCACCAATATCACCACGAAGTGGTAGTTTGGGATCACCAACGAAAAATCACAAAATCGTCCCTAATCATTTGGATGGACACATTAGCAGGTTTGTGAATGATTTAATACATGTTTTTTTTACCTAAATGCTAGAAAAATAAAACAAACGTTAGGCCAGGGTCAGCGGGAGCGGAAAGATTTGAGTGGGAGGAAAAAGAAGTAAAGTGAAGCTGTCGGTTGATATGGGACGGGTTCATCGGCTCACTTCTGTTGTTAAATCGATTGCGACAGCTGGGTCTCGTCCGGGTTTAAGGATTAATTCCGGAAAAACTGTGCGGTTGCAACTGGTAATTTATGCCTTGGTAATTCAATCGGGCCAGTAATGATCAGAGTGCTAGAGAACAAAAAAAAGTAATCGTAAAACTTTCACCTAAGCCTGCTATCGATGATACTGTATGTCTTACTTTGGTATTTTTCATTTAATTTTCAACATCTGGGGAACATATGATTATAAAGTCTGTAGTCATTGACTTTCGGTGGAATGAATTGATTTTGTGTAGCGATAACCAGTTTGCTCTATTCAGAGCTACTGAAGAGCTGATTGCCTGGTTGCGTGCATTGGAAATCGATGACCGATCAATACGCCTAATAGTCGCCGAACAATACACCAAGCAGGATTTGTTCGAATTTGTCACAAGGGAAGAACTATTGGCATTAGGCGTAGCGTGAGTTTCACTTTAATTACAGGAGCGAGTGAAATGAGATCAGACGAGTTTAAAGGTGGTTGGACGAGTGTTTGTGAAGGAAAAATGGACGAGTTTTTTTAAGAGGAAGAACTAGTTTTTTCTTTGGAGAAGGTTGAATCCTTTCTATACAGAGAAACGAAACCCAAGAAATTTAGGGAAATTGTCATCAATTGGCTCCCCTCCAGAGTTTCAAAAAGAAATGAACGGGCGTCTCCTGATAAGCTTTTACAAATCCCCTGATTTGTAAGCCCTTCCCATGGAAATGTTTCAAAAAAATCTCAGGGTTGATTTTTTTGTTTAGTAATTCGACCACGTAGTGAACACTATAACTGAACATCATACGTGCGGACGCGTCACGGTCGTTTTGTTTGCGTCGAATTTGCTCGCACATTTGGCCAGTAAAGAGTTAACTCAGCGGGACAGCGATTGTAAATGTAGTTCTTCATGAAGCTTAATGGTGGACATGAGCTAAGAAGAAAAGAGGACAAGTTGTATTATTGAGATTGGACGAGTTTTCTTGAAATTAAACACTAAAATTTCCATAGTTACAGCGGTGGAGCGACATGCCGCATATGGAGAGTTGTAAGTGAGGCACGTGAACGAGCTCGTCGAGCTCCAGTGTTTCTTTCGCCAATGCGGAGTCGTGACGATTCGCTGGACGATTATCATTCTTCAATCGCAGACGAGATGTATACAGTAGCTGAAATGACGTCATAAATTCTAGGCCAGTAGAAAGTTTGGCAAATGACGCGTTCACATTGATGACGGCTAGTACGAGTTTTCTTTCCCTCACTGGCCCTCCAACGATAAACTTTCATACCCCCCTTACAGTTTCTGGTAATCTCATTTTATCAAGGTTCTCTAGTTGATTTGACTGCTGTTTCTGAGATCACACTATTTTCTTGCTCGAAAAAAAAGTCGATTAGTATTTTTTAAAGTTGTGTTGTTTGTAAATACGATATCGTTTACTAGTCCGCTTCCAGTCGATTAACGATTTTTTCTAATTTCCTTTAGCGATTTAATCTAGATCAGAAGCTCTAATATTATATAGCGATTTTCTAGGTCTTCCCAACGTGGCTATGTTGNTTTGCCAAAGACATTTTCTTAACATCACCTCCTGTCCTTGCAGATTATTTAGTCGAAAATTGGCGTTTAGTTCTTTTTCGATCCCCACAGTATCATGTTGGTGACGGCCAACACGGTACACGTGCGGTTGCGGCGCGGTGAAACAGGTTAGCCGCTATGCAATCGCATGCAGCTCGTCGCGGCTAACTCGGGCGAGCTAAACTTGCTGCGTATGAGGTCGTGCATTGCTATGAATGCAGTGTTCATGCTAGTCGTCAATTTTAAGCTAATTCATCTGGAATTTACGTGTACACCGCGGCGAAACATTGAGTTCCGCGATAAAATCAATACTTGTCGCTTGCGGACTGTAGCCTTTCCACCTGAGATATTGTGCTCAGGTCTTGTATTTCATCATAGCTTCATAGTCCCAGGGAAGTCGATATTTGTCACTCCATGCTACATGGATTGTCAATTTTGACGCCCATCAAACTACCGACTGCAAAATCACGCATGCTGATCGGGCGTAAGATCAATAACCATACTTCGTATGTAGGCGAAAGTGCGCAAGCGACAATATCTGTATCTGTTTAGAGGTCGCGTAGAAAGTTGTTCTTATCACTAGTTGTTCTGTCCTATTCGCTACAAAACGTTATCATGAACCCTTCTCCCTATCTCCTACTGTTCATACAGCAGTGTCAGCTGGTTTTCCTGTGATACTCGCGTTCCGTCCGTTACATGTCATGGAACGCCTTTCAGTACGGCTTTCTTCTAATATATTTTACTTCAAATATGTTTTGTCTGAGTGTCATACTTCCGCGAAAACTATGCCTATCGATTAGTTCGCCTGTATATGTATATTAAATGTAAATATCGGTTTTCTAAACGGTGTTATTATGAAATAGAGAAACTCTATGTATATGTATTTATGTAATGGTATTAATCTATGTCGATTAATATACAACGATAATCAGTGCAAATGTTTTTTTGGTTTAATAAATATTCATAATTATTGTATGACTTGTTATTTTGAATGGAGGCTATTTTTCTTGTCATTCCCAGAGGATAACCCTTCCAATGACTCTCTCTCTGATATTTCTAAAAAGATAAAAGATAAAGCCTTCGGGCGTTGATCAATCTTGCCTGAGGGTTGCGCCCTGCATTCGACTTCCATTGTGAATCGTAGTGTAATGTTGAATGCATATGTGGCCCGTACAATGACTTACGGTAGCCAACCGATGTACAAGTCAGTGCTTTTATCCTCCCAGACGAGTTTGGAATGGACCCAAAGGAATGGATGGCTCGATTGGCCCTGGGGGATATCGAATCGGGATTCGAACACATGACAATGCGTGTGTGACATTGCGCCACTTGCCACTACGCCACCGCCCTTCAGCTCATAGGCTCAGATGAACACATAACACAGGCTGTAACCCATGGCTATACCCATAATATATGACATGACCCGTAATCCATCGGGGATCTCACACACTAAAAATGTATCAAAACCCTTTGCCCAGAGGGAATCCTCTCGACTTTTATGAGTGTATCCCGACGTGGCATTAGAACCTGTACATAAAAAAGCTTTGTATTCAATTCAATAAATCTCGCTACCCCCAAAAATATAAGGAGATTCTGTAGATTCTCCTTTCAATTAGCGGAGCTTCTGCTATTCGAAAGCCCTCTACCCTTCTGGTTCCAATATGTGTCCAAGTAAATAATCTGGGCGCTCAACAAAGCTGAACATTTCTGAGTGATAATCAGTTCTTGAATCTCGAATTCTCTAGAACTGGGGAGTCAAAGCTCTACTAAGTTTTCATTCGATCTCAAATACCAGTTCATTATGAAGTCGTTCTCTCTCCGCAGGAGTAACATTGAACGTACATGTATCTGGCCTTGCGGCATTTAACGGTGATTGGCACGAAAATCGCCTCTTTATTTTTATGATATTTCCACTTGTGAATAGATAAGTAAACAGTCACTAATCCTATCACAAAAGCGCTTTCTGGCGAGTAATCTTAATCCTCATTTAGTTGGGTTGGAAAGCGGTGGGCATTATAGATGGATGGATGCGATTACTGTCCTCCTATGATTAAGTCTCTTTTCTATAAATGGTTTACAATCGTCCAAAAAAGATTCATCAAGATAAACATCATGTCAACCACCTTCGAGCGTTGCTTACAAACAATCAAAATTCAAATAATACAGGTTCGTATCAAGCTCAGCTGAAAAGAATCTAAGAAATTGAGTGAATAGGGAAACTATAGGATTACTTCTAGAAAGGTAACGTCCAACTGATATGTCAATCGATCTTGCCTAGTTTTACGATAAATACTCAGAACATACATAGTTTCTGTAGTTGGTAGCAGAATAAAAAAACATCTTTAAAATTGCCATCATAACGCCGAACGACCCAAAAGACAAAGTATGTACGATCACTGCTTCGCTCAAATCTCTTTGATCACTTGTGTTGTTCGATTTTCCGACGGAGATCGTCTTCAAGACTTCCTTCGACGATGTCCTGAAAACGGTCATTCTTCAAGAATAGCTAAAAGTAAGGGTGTTTGGCTGCAAATGGTTTGAATGTTAAGAAAGGGTTTAACTGTGGCTTGCTAAGATCGGTCCATGTACAGTACTCTACAGTACTCTTATCTTTTGCTCAATTTTCTTTCAGTCTAGAGCGTCCAGCTGAGTAAACCCTCAAAAGTTCATTTTATTCTGGCATCACCTCCTATGTCTTCAATCTATCCTTGCTAATATTTAGCCCATTTATAGCAGAATTCTATTTCTCAATACCTTTCCAGGGAAAAATAAAGAGCTTTGATTAATCTCTACAATTTAAAAAGTTTAAAACCAAAGCCTCTACTCACAATTTGTGCTCCTTTGCGCATGAAGATAAACGTTGGCATGACTTTGATCTCAAAACGTGACACGATATCTTCCTAAAAGCAAAATATAAGATCAAATCGAGAAGGATCCCCACAAAAGCGCCGAAATCCTTCGAAAATTTAAGGAAAAACTGCAAAACGTACACTCTCATCAACGTCGATTTTGACAAAAACTACCGACGGGTTCTCGTTGGCCATTTTCTAAAATGGATATTCGAACAATATCAAATGCGTAGGTAGTGGTTAATGTGCCTTTGAGCCCTACTTTTCAACATTCATTCCCATAAGGACGTGATAAAACCCATAACCCAGAAAAGGAACCACTATCAGGGGCATGATAGAACGTAAAAATCCGCGTTCAGTCATTGCGTTCACACGATGCATCGTTGGCGTTAATGGCGCCGAGGGCCAGAGATACCCCATACTTTTAAAATTTTGCATTATATGGGAGGTTTTATCATTAACTAGCCTGAGTAGGATCGTTAGCTCATTGCCAAAGGTCAAGCTGAAAATTGAAAACTTACGGTAAATTTTGGTCCCATAATTTTGCATGGACCACACCATGTCGCATAGAAATCGATGACAATGAGTGAGTCGGGGTACTCTTTCAATAAATCATCGAATTCGCTCTGAAATTCCAGTTGGACTATTGAGAATTCATAGTGCCATTACGAAGTTTTCTTAAGTAATACCAACTTATTTTAATGTGAAGCACCTCAGTTTGAGGTGGTGTAATACCTAGTGGCGCCTATACGACATGCACTAATCCAGGACCAAATCCCAATCCGCCAATGCCAGCTAGTCTACCGGTCGACTGAACGGTAGACAGTGTTCGGGAAGATAAGGGCTTTGGTTCGCGCATCACTTATGGGGGATGGGGGTTTCCAGGCTTATGAGCTAAACGACGGAGGTGGTGTAGTGGCAAGTGGCGCAGAATCTCCCACGCATGGTCAGGGATTCGAATCCCGGATCAATGTATGCCTAGGCCACCGAGCCTCCCATCCTTCCGATGTCGGTTGATTGGTACCAGATTCATCTGGGAGGATAAATGCTCTGACTTGTACATCGGTTGGCCACCCGCAAGTCATGGTATAGGCCACAAACGCACTCATTACGCCACTACGATTCTGAATGGAATTCGAGTGCGGGGACGCATCCTTCACACGGGATTGATCAACGCCAGAAACTTTATCCTTCACTTTATCTTTATCCCCAATTTTACGGTTTTTCCATCTGACCGATGTATGTCGGGAAGGCTGCGGGGGAAGGAATCTGTAGAGGCTTTTCTGAAGAAAAAAGGAGGGCAGGACGAGAAGTGAAGGAGAGTGAGCTCTGCAAAGGGGGTCAGGCATTTATATGGCAGGAATGATGGTACAAAAATTCTCGACGGCGTCATCTATTTTGAAGGTTAGAAATTTGGACGGTTGTCCGCCAAAAGAAGCTCAGTCAGAAAACGCACTGTTCAGATAGCAAGCTCTCTATTCTCTGTATAATTTCAAGAATGATCCAGATGAACCAGGAACAAACCCGACGCGCCTTTTCTTTATCTAGTAGGCGTGATCGCTTTCTATGGGGTAACTTGTTGTGCTACTGATTCGGTAGATTCGGTTTTGGGTGATTAGATTTATTTGTTCAATTACCTTTCTAGAAATACTTTCATTTTTTGTCACTACTTTCGATTAGTTGTTTTTACTCTTTTACTGCCGCCGGCCCTACCCGGCCAGCCAGGTTGAACTCTTTTCCCAACAAGGCGCTGACGTATCCATG